AAAAAAAAAAAAAAAGATTAAATATACAGCTATCGTCAAAAGCAAAAATCCCAACAGTTCTGACTGAACAACTGCCCCGGGGGTAGAGGCCGGACCGGGGTCCGCGGGACGCGCGGGTCCGACGACAGCAGCATCGGTGCCGGGACCGGCGGCGGGGCCGGCCCTGGAGACGGAGCCGGCCCTGGAGACGGAGCGGTCTGTCCTGCCCGGCGCGTACGCGTCTTGACAGCTTTACATGTCAGGGGACACCGCTCTCCGGACTCCACCGCTTGTCTGGGAGACGTACGTGGAAGTGTCCGTGGCTCCGCGGTGTGCGGGCTCCGTGCCACCTCAAAAAATTCCACACGGACCCGCTGTAAAACGGCGGTTTCTCTCAGCGGGACGCCACAGGGGCTGGCGCGGCATCCGTGACACGGAAGACCCCAGACTGCGCTCACGCACAGGCTCGATCTTAGTAAAAACGTGGGCGCCGCTCCGCCGCCGCGGGCCGCCCGGGCCGCGCCTCGGAACTTCGCTACCCGCCTGGGTCCCGGGCGCTCGGCGCGCAGGCCGCGGGGCGCGGGGCAGGGGAGGCCGCGCGGGGCCTGGCGCCCCCTCCCGCTGAGGGCGGCCCGGGACGGGGTCCTGCGGCCGCGCCCCGTGCCTCGCGGGACCGTTTCAATCGACGCCTCCTGTTTTTTCTATTCTTTTCACCAGAACATTTTGGGGGCGCGGGGGGGGGACAAAGATAACCAGTCACACACACATCGGCCGGCGGGGACGGCTGCCGGAGGCCGCTGAGGAGCCGCGGAGGCCGGGGAGGCCGGGGACAGGTGCCCTGAGGAGACACTCAGCCTGGAGAGCGTGCGGTTCCAAGGGTGCGGAATCCGAACAATGGTGTCATTTCCACCCGTCACGCACGCGGCCCCGAGTCGCCGGCCGGCTGGCCTTGGAGGAGAGCAAAGCCCGGCGGCGCCGAGGGGCACGCGCGGCGCGGCGCGGGACGGCGGCTCCCGGGGTCTGGCCGCCAACAGGTGGCAGCTCCGCGCCCGGGGCGGCGGCGCGCCCGCCCCCCGGAGGGGCCCGCGTCCCGACAGCGCGTCCCGCGGCGCGGCGCCCGGGAGCCCCCGCGACGGGGCGAGCGCCCCCCGGGGTGCGCCCCCCTCACGGCACGCGGGGGACGGAGCGCGCCCGCCGGCCCTGCAGGGGTCCCCGCAGCCGCGGGCTGCAGTGACACGCAGGGCGCTCCACGGAGGCCGAGGGCGCGCGTCAGGCACCGCGGCCGGACCCGCGCCCGAGCCCAGGGGCTGCGGAAGCGAGCGGGGACGCGGGGCGGCGGGCAGGTCTCCGGCTGGAGCCGAGTCCCGGGCGGCCGCACGCGCCCGGCCCGCGGGATGAAGGTCAGCGGTCAGCCCGGCCCCTCGGCCCCTCAGCCACCGGCCCCGCGTGAAGAGACAGCACGACCCTCCAGCCCCGCGTGAGGAGGCGGCCCGGCGCCCGGCCGGAGGCCCCGCGTGAGGAGGCGGCCCGGCGCGCGGGCTGCGGAGACACGTACCTGCCGCCGGGCTCGGCTCGCTCGCTCGCTCGGCTCTGCAGAGGCGGCCGCCCCGCTCGCGCCCCGGGCTCTCCTCAGCGCCTCGCGCCGCCGGCTCTCCCGGGCCCGCGCCTGCGCCGTCGCGCCTGCGCGCTGGCCCCGCGGCCCCCGCACGCCCCCCCCGCCCCCGGCGCCCCGCGTCCACGCGCGCCCCCTCCCACCGCCCGCCGTGCGGCTGAGGCGCGATCCAGAAACCCGCGGCCTGCGGGCCGGGCAGGGACTGGGCGGCCGCGAGTCCCCAGAAGCGCCGGCTTCGTGGCGTGAGAGCCGCGGGGCGGGGCCGCGTGCGGACGGCGCAGGGGCGCGAGCCGGCGGGCGGGCGGCAACAAGTGCGAGGCCGCGGGAGGGGAGACAAGCGACAAGGGGGACCCGGTGGCCCCGGCGCGGCGCCCGGAGGTCCCTGAGGCCCGGGTGCGGGATTCCTTTCCGTGACTGCCCTCCAGGAGCCTCTTGAGACGTGTCGACCACGAATTGCCCCCCACCCCGCCTCCCCCGACCACGGGCCCGGCGTGCGTGCAGCCGCCTGACGCGCCGGAGGGGCTCGCGGCCCCGGGGCTCCGCGCACGTGCGCACGGGCACCCCGACGTCCGCGGGTGTCGCCTCGGGACTCGTAGGGGTGCGGCGATGTGTAGGCGCCAGGAGTTTATCCTGAAAACAGAGCCCCAGCATAATTAAAAATAGCCGTTTTCCTCTGGTCTCCTGACATTGACATTTTCGTGAAAATACTTGGAGTGATTGGAAACCGTCCTGTCTGGAGGACGGAGTCCTCCAAAGCGGGCTTTTGCTGGTTTGGGAGTTTTGTTGTTCATTCGGCCGTGGGGGTGTGGGGTGGTTTTTGCTGGGCCCATTTGGCCTCCCGGACCGTCGTTGTCCTTCGGGCCGCCCTCTCCTCCCACCTCAGCTTTTCCAGCCAGAAGACGGAAATGGCGGCGTTGGACGACTTCCGAACCCCAGCTGGGACCGCACTTTCTTCGACACAGGACTGTCTAGGGACGGAGTATCCCGCCTTGGCGTCGCTTGCCCAAATTGTCACCCCAATTTTCCCCTTCTAATATTTTATTAAAGATTTTATTAAAACCCTTGAGAAGCACCCAGTTACACAGTTTTGAAACTTGCAAACCGAGGGCTCGGACCACCACTTCGGAACACCTGCGATCTCGGTAGTCCAAGTGCAATTTTCGGGTTCAGGTGCAACGCTACTGGAAGGGAACTGTTTTCCTCAGTTGCTGCCTCCAAAGGCCCTCTAGAGAGAGGAGTGAGGAAATTACACGCCAACATCTTTTATATGTATATTTTAAGTGCTTTCTAAAAACTAATCTGAGGTCCTGAAGAAGGGAGGTGCCACCATTTCCTGTGGTTGGTGTGAAAGCAGAAATCCCCAGGCCGTGCGTGTCGGCTCTGTGCTGCCCCCTGGTGGTGTCCTACTTCACGGCAGGTTCCCAGACAGAAGTTTTCAAGACGCCCTCCTGCTCCCTACCAACCTGTCCTGCTCCTGTTCGCAAATACCCCAAAGCCCGGCACCCTGGAGGCTTAGTCCTGGAGGCAGATCCGTGTTGCAGCGGTGTCCAACCTTTTGGCGCCTCTGGGCCACACATTGAATACATTGCTACACATAATCACACACACACACACACACACACACACACACACACATCTTACAGTGGTTTAAGTCCATTTACGGTTTTATGCGGGCCGCATTCATAGCCATCCAGGGCTGCGTGCGGCCTGCGGGCCACGGGTTGGACACCCCTGGCAGTGGAATGTGACCACCAGGGGCAGACCTCTTGCTTGTTTTTAAATTTGTCTTGTAAGGATGACTTGGAGACACCTGTTTAAAATCAGATTCTGGAGCCTCACTTCAAGTCATTAAAATCTTATCTACCGGAGAGTGGCCATTTTTAAGTGTGCCACATAATTCTTATCCATAGCAGCGAGAAGTACCTGGGGGGGAAGTAGAGCAGAGGCTGCTTGCGTGTCAGTGACTAACGAGACGGCATTTTGTAAAACAGGAGACATAGAGCAGGAGCGGAAGAAATTAACTGTGGGTTTAAGTCTTGTGTGTTATTTTCTTGCCAGATATTCCTGCTTCTGCTGTGTCTGCTATTAGCATATTCCACACCAAAATGCTTTTGAGGTATCTCGGGTTTTCTTTAGTTTTAAAAAACCTGTGTTTTCAAGATACCAGAATCACCGAATCGGAAAATTTGTGCGTATATGCAGCTGCAAGATTATGAGAGGGAAGACTGGAGATGATATTGTTCCTGTGAATGTCTGGAAAAGGTATCAGAGTTAAAATTTCTCTTCAGGTAGTTGCTTGTAAAAATAGAACATATGATTCTGATGCTACATGATTTGGGAAATGTAAATAATGCCAAAAACTTAAATTGTTAATGTTTATGTGAGTGTTAATGTTTTAAAAATTCTACATGTTGATTTATAATACCACCTCGCTTATTTGGAACATACAAGGAAAAAGCCAATCTGGGTCATTGAAAAGTCTGAGAAATGGAATATATGTCACTTTGTGTGGTATTTATTTAGAAACAAATATTGACAATAACTTATAGCAATGGGTTTTTAAAAATCCTGCTAAGATGGCAGGATTTTAATAAATTAACAAATATTACTGACTTGTAATTAGCCAAATTCATGAGCATCCAGTCTTATGTGGATAAAAATACAAAGCACAGTACCATGTACTCAGTAGATTCTCAATTGATATTCATGAAAAAAATTTTCTAATAAGTAGGTTAGGCATGTTTAATGCAGCAAGCCCAACCCGGGGTTTCACTGTTTACATCAATCAAGTAGTAACATCCCAATGGTGGTTTTAGAAACAATAACTGTCTAAATGCTTGGCACACTTTAGTCCTGGCTGGTGTGGCTCAGTGGACTGAGCACCAGCCTGCAAACTGAAACGTAGCTGGTTCAATTCCCAGTCGGGCACATGCCTGGGTTGCTGGCAAGGTCCCCAGTAGGGGGCGCGCGAGAGGCCACGGCACGTTGATGTTTCTGTCCCTCTCTTTCTCCCTCCCCTCCCTTCCCCTGTCTAAAAATAAATAAAATATTTTAAAAAAATTGGACAGTAACTTGAGAAGGCAGCTTAGTACACCTTTTGTAGATAAAGTTCAGCTCTATTTGCAATTCTGAACACGGGGACTAAACTGGGTGGGTCTCTTGGCTGGTGTCTGACCTCTGTGCACACGTCACTCTTGCCTCAGTCTCACCCACACTGCACACTGCAGCCATATAAATCGGGTTTTCGACCCGTTATAAATACCAGGCAGTATTCAAAGCCTTTGAAAACGATGCATATCCAAAACCATTGTTTGTATAAATATAAGTTTTCATTGAGGTAAGGGAAAACAAACTCATACAATGAGCCAGTGATTACTCATTCTTCTCTCTCCTCCCGCTCCCTGGCTCCGCCCTGCTTTGCTTGTCTAAGAGTGATTGCCTTTGGGAGAAGACCTTGATATTCCACCTGTGTTAATAGGAAGGTGAGATTTCTATTATTCTTTCTGCTTAAGTCAGGGGTTAAGTCCCCTCTATGAACGAAATTAAGAATTTATAATCATAATGTAAGTATAGATCCTTCTTTAAATATGTTTAATTTCTCTGCTTCTTTTATAGCCGGTAACTTCACACATAAGCATGTCTTATTAGCTACTTTGTCAGATGCCAGACATTTCTGAAAGAAAGATTAGTAAATGTAAAGCACAATCTACAGTACAGTATCTTATAATAGTTGTAAAGATTCTATAGAAATGCTAACCTTTCAAGTGCTGTGAAAGATCTGCTGTAGCTGTTTTTGGCCATTTTCAATAGGCTGAAAAATTGGAAATTATTGATTCCATTTAAAAATCAGATTACAAATTAGCTTTATGAAAAAATTAAAAGTCAGTTCAGGTCATCCAAATTCATTTGCTGATATATCTTTCATATATAATTTCATATATTATAGTAACGCTATTATATTAACAATGTTTATTAAATGTAAAACTTAAAGAGTTTTCTGCAGAGATTTAAGATTATGGTACATTGTTTAGGCAATGATTTCTGTTTAGTGCATTTTTTCTGTTTAAGGTTGATCTTTTACTTTTATCTGTTTTTTATTGATATGTAGTGGTTTTAAAAATACTCTAAGCAAAGAAATTTGTCACTAGCATATGTCTTAATTAGTTTCATCATTTAAAAGAATATTTGACATTTTATAATACCCTCAAAAGAAGATAACTTTTCCTAAATTATTAACTTTAGGTGCTGTTTTTCAAACCTAAACTTTTGACCAAGAATGAAACTATTTAAAACTTAATATGCCAACAGGTAATTTCTTGTAAGCTTATGTTTTTGTCAATGTGTGTGACATAGTAATAGAAAAAAATAACTGTATATTAACACAACTGTATTTTCCCCATCTACAATTGTTTTAAAAACCTGATATATTTTTTATTTTAAAAGACCTTTTATAACATGAATTTTATTTTAGACATGTATTTTATTGCTTTTTATAAACTATCACATTCTAGCTTGATAACTGCTTTCAACTTTTCAAATAAGTAAATGAAATTAGAATAAAAATATATTGAGAGATAGTGATTCAGGGTATTGATACTGTACCAAGTGTTGAGACATGATTATAATCCAGTTAAAATCAAGGAAGTTAATTTCATCTACAGGAAGCATATTCTGTGATGAAGCTACAGTCTGCCCTCGATGGAAACCCCTAGTGACCCCCAGAGTTCTGATGCAATGTGATGTTAATTGGGATTTTACTTTTTGGCCAAATTATTCCTGAAAAATTGTAAGCACAATCTTATTACAAGTTGTTTGATTGTAAGAAACATGACACCATGTGAAAAAGAAAATATATAAAAGAATTCTGGTTGGTTTGTTTTTTTTTCCCCACTGAATTTCTTTGTGGTCCTGTTCTTTATAGTTTTATACTTTTAGAGTTACAATTTGATGATAACATTTTCTTAATACTTCTAAAAAGTAGAAGGAACGTTTTAAAATTTCAGATGCTTACGGTGGGGACATCTGGCTCAATAGCAATTATATCTTAATAGGTTATTGATATCTTAGTGGCAAAGAAATGATATTTTTTAAAAATATTAGTATGCTGTTTTTAAATGCCAAGTTGGAGTAATGCCATATTCTTTCATATGAGATTATGGGTTGTTGTCTAGGCAGAACCAGGAACCAACAATGTGCCGTTTTAAAGCAACACAGTCCTCCTGCAAGGACAGAAGATTCAGTCGTTTGCTCTTCTAATCATAAACGGCAGTGTAACAACTCAATGAATTCTATTGTGGCAGCTTGATTTCGGTGACCAGGAATGAAAGGATAGGGATTAAAAAAAAAAAATGGTGTAGACGGACAGGGAGTCAGAAAGGCAGGAGAGGTGCCAGGGGCAACAGGAAAGGCAAGATCAAGGGCAAGAGAGGAAGGTCAAAAGGCAGGAGGGAAGCAGGCCGGAGGCAGAGAAAAGCGACGAGAAGTGGAGGTTTATTTTCTTAACCTTCGGGAAGTTTTGGCTGTGTATCAAGCAATAACTTGGGTATTTAATTGGACTTTAGCACTTTAGACACGTCTTTAGTGACGAGCTGTTGCCTAAAATCACCTTGCAAATCGAAACCTTTTAGGTTTATTTTTGGGGTTTTTTTTAATGTTAAAATTGTGAAATACAGAAAAAACTCAAAGATAATTTTGGAAATCAGAATCCATGTCAACTGTCTAAATCTTTTTTCCAAAGAAATTTCAGACCGTCCTGTCTTTGAGGCCTAAAGGAAAAGAATCTAAATAGTCCTTCCAGGCAGAGGCTCTCTTAGCCCTGCTGCAGGATTTCTGTAAATGAGAAAGGCCCCTGTTTATTTTAAAAGCCCAATCATCTCGTTTTAATCCAATAGATTCACTATTTCTGTAATGAGCTTATCCATTATAATGAATGAATGGCCATGTTCTCAGGACAGATCACTTTTTCCCCTCAAAACCATAGAAGTCTGTACTTATTCCTTATTTGATAAAATTAAGCCCCTCGTTTTGAGAAACCATTCTGATTTTTGAATTGCTGCTGCAGTGCAAGACACCACTCCTTCTCTTGGCTTTATTAGAAAAACTTAAGCCTGTCTCTCTGTGTCACTTACGCACGTGTTTCAGATCACGAGGAGCCCTGTGGCCCCAGTCACAGGCCCTTCTGCCTGAACGGGGGCACCTGCTATGTGGTATCCGCTGTGCCCGGCCCGTTTTGTAGGTGAGTGAAGGGGGCTGGGGGGGAGAGGGCGACTATTTTTCTCATGTCCTAAATAGGGAACAAAAAATGTGAGGTGAAAAAGTGTGAGAAAACTCTTCATACTTACAGAGAACAAAACTATGCTCTTAAAACAGTAGCAAATCACAACCTCAAAGCTTATTTTGAAAATTGGTAGTGGTAGTTTCAAGCTTAGATTTTTAAATAATTTATTTTAGTGAACGTCTATGATTTTAGCACTTTAGGGAAGACAGGCTATCTATGTGTTTCATATTATTAGCAAAACTGCTAGAGAAAACACTACTGTGAAAAAGCCCAACATAAGGTTTTGGTTTTAGACTAGTAAATACATAAATATGTTGCTACCAAAATTTACATTTGCTATGTTAAAAGGAAAATGAAGAATTAAGTTTTTCTAATGGGGGCAGCAATAATTCAATTGGCAAAGAAAAAGATTTGAAATTCCTAGATTAAATGAGAGGGAAATGGTGTTACTTAAATGAATTTAACACATTAAAGGAGGTGCTGTTAAACAGTAGGAAAGTAGGTGAATCAGTGGGGCTGGAACAACCTCTTAGCAACAGGGAGAAAAAGTTCATTTAGACCCACCTCTGTGCCAGACTTGACCAAATAAGTTTCAGGAAAATTTAACTGGGGATAATCACATCACTGTAAACCTGGAACATAATACGAACAGCCTACAATGTTCTATGGATTGTCTCAGTAATGAAAAAGCTTGAAAAGACAGCAAGGACTAGCCTGCACGTGCTAACTTGCTTCGCTGTGACCACAGCTTGGTGAGCATTAGGAAACATGCCCATGTTCAGAGTCCGGAAATTACTCCTCTTTCTTAATACCAGTTGGAAACCGTCTGCCTTCCATATTAGTAAATAGAACATAGAATGCAATTTTTCATCCAAAATTTTGTTCCATAGATGCATTGACAATTATACGGGAGCACGTTGTGAAGAGGTTTTTCTCCCAAGCACCAGCACCCAGGGTAAACCCGGCCTGCTTGCGGCGAGTGTGGCACTGGCGGTTCTTCTGGGGGCTCTTCTCGTTGGAGCCCTCTACTGCCTGTGCAGGTGAGCGAGAAACGGGCTTTTGAAGAGAAAAAAGTAAGGCGTACTGTGGTTATCCTGCTAAGTAATTATATGCCCTTTAGTCCAGGATACTCTTTCAGGTAGATTTTTCTATTTAGGGTTCTCTCTCTCATAGCTATCCATGTTAAATCTGTAAGTCGCTTTTGAAAGGATCTTAAGCAGGCTCTGTTCGTTGTTACTGTCATTTTTACCTTGACTTCTCTAAACTAGCAGACACACATTCCGGAAAGCAACTGTGCCACAAATACCTCAATACTTGGGCTAGGTCTCTTTTGAGCAAATTTTGAATGTGAAAGAAAAGCAACAACCTATCCAACACTGTACATACAAATGCAACACGTATGGTTACTATCTAGGGTCAACAATTTAGAGTCTACTACATGCTACGCATGGCACTGACCGTAAAGAATAGTGAACATGACAGACATGTTCCCTGACTTCATAGAAATGTCAATCAGCTTGGACAGACAAATAAGCAGGCCACGACTATGAGGAAATTAGTAACTTACCAGACAAAGTAAAAATGAGTCACATGAAATAGTGCTGCACACTGAAGACTACGTTCATTCATGAGTTTTGGTCTTCAATTTTTTCTCTGAAATTGTGTGAAAGTGGCTATGGGATTCACTAAGGTTAGGAGCTGCCTAATGTCATAACTGCCACCATTAATCACTAAATGCACACTGTATGGCTATCACGAGACTTGTGAACGTGGAATCCTGGAGCTGAACAGAGCAGTTGACTACAAAGCAACCCAAGTCACATTAGGGTCCCAAGCAATGAAAATGAACCTCTTTAAAAATAGCAGAAAAACATTCCCCTGAGCTATAGCATCCCCGCCGTCTGAAAGAAGAGCCAGCGGCCATCACGGGCATCTGAAGTCCCCACGGTGACCTGTCCGCCCGGCAGGTTGCAGGGCAGCCCAGGAATGTCAGCTAGTTGTGCGGAAGGAAAGGAACCTCCGAAGAGTTAAGTTCAAATTTTCTGTCTGCGTTTGCACTTACCTAATTTCTTTCCTTTTTTCTGTCAGGAAGGGCTGCCCTCAGAGGGCCAGTGCAGTCCAACATGGCCTCAGCCTGGCAGAGACAAGCCGGACCAGTGCCCAGCACAGTGAGGAACTTCCCAGTGAAGTGCTTATCTTGAAACCCTAGATGAGGGCTCCGTCAGTACCCGTAGGGGTTTGGAGCCACCCAAAAAAGGGCTGACCCTGGGAATTTTCCTGTGGGTTCTGAAATAGGCACGCTTTTTCACATGAAGATGAATGTACTAGCATGTATGGAACAAGCCATCCTTTCCCCCCTTTGTTACTGCTCTCCTTTGTGGTATCTGAAAGAAGAAAAAAGGGTCACCAGGCTTGTTAGCACTTTGGGCAACGAAGAAATCGGCCATAAGGCAAGGCAGAGATCCTTCCCTAGACTCTGCTGGTTCTGCCGAGCACAGCTGAACAGGGCGTATGTGAGGGATAAGAGACATGTGTTGGTGGGCACGCGCGTAAAGGAAAAAGGAGGTAGAGAAAACAGCTTCATTCTTGTTTTCCATAGGCCATGGAGAACACTGAAGAAATAGCAAATTGAACCAAATCATTGCTTCTTTCTTAGAAAGGCAAAAAATAAAACACCCTAAGGTAAAATAATGAAAAGATTTAATCCTTCTTTGTTCCCTAAATAAGACTTCAGTTGGCATACCAAGGAAGTCTGTTCTGCTACAACGCACGTGTTTCTGTACTGTGTCTTGTTATTAGCACACATGTACTCGGTGAACAGGGAAACGATACCAGGAAGTTGCATGGGTCAAACGTGAAAAAGTGAGCTCATGCATTGGAGCAGAGGAAGGCTTTCTAACAACTAAAGAGAGAAGGTGAAAATCCTTTAAGTGCAAAAAGGTGGTTGGGTGGCTCTGAAAACCACCTAACTTTTCACTGTGTTAAGCTGTCTGGCGAAGGTACAGGTACAGGTAAGCTATGAAGATGTTTTACCTGGTGATTAGAGAAAACGCACTAACTGATGAAGGCCTCCTCTACGTCATATTTTCAATATTGATTAAAATGATTTCTAGAAAAAGTGATAGATTTCAAGGATCTATATCTGAAAGGAAGAAACACAAACCGAAAAGTTTAAGGCTGCAAAACACAGACCAACTAATTCTCAATCGGGGTACTGGTAGAAATTTGGGATTATTGTTTTTGTTACTGCTCTGGTTACAAAATTCCAAACCTATTTTTCCCCCAGAAGGGTTTTAATTTTTAGGGCAGGATTTTACAGAATCAAGGTCCTCAATTTATTAGGGGCCATTGAAAGAATTCATTAGGCCAGACCAATTTCCCCCGTTTCCTGCTACTGTGAAGTCTCCCTGAAACATACGAGAAAGCCAAGCAATAGTGACCTTCGGGAAGTATTAGAATGAACAGTTTGACCCTGCCTGGTGCAGCTCAGTAGACTGAGCGCTGCCCTGTGAACCAAAGGGTCGTGGGTTCGATTACCAGTCAGGGCACAGGTCGGGGGACACGTTGCGAGGCAACCACACATTGATGTTTCTCTCCCTCTCTTTCCCCCTCCTTAAAAATAAATAAATAAAATCTTAAAAAAAAAAAAAGAATGAACAGCTGTGGAGCAGCCGGGGACTGTGGATGTCCTGCCCGGGGACTGGGGACCAGAACCGGAACCGGCTGAGCAGAGGAGCAGGCACCAGCCAGCCCAGCAGCCCACCTGTCAAACAATTCCCATCGCCCCAGTTTCTCCACATCCTCGCCGACCCTTGTTTTTCTTTTTAAAATAACACTGCTTCACACTCGGCAGGGTGGCTGCCTCCCTGTGGTTTTGATTTGCATTTCCCCAATGGTCAGTGATGTTGAGCATCTTCTCCTGCGCACCTTAGCTATTTGTACAGCTTCTTTGGAGAAGTGTCTCTTGCAGGCCTATGCCCATTTTTGAATTGCGTTGTCTGTTGTATTTACTAGGTTTTATTTATTTATTTATTTAGGATGGCCGAAGGCTGTCGTCCATTTGTTTTGGAACTTTTCCAAAGATTATTCCTTGTCATGGGTGAACACTGACGTCTCTCTTCCTTTTTTCTCACATTCGGCTGCTTTGACAAATTTGAGTGCCAGTTCTCCTGCGTGCTAAGGACCCCCTGCAGTGCTTACGGAGGCCTGTGCCACACCTAGGGACCAGGCGGAGGGGAAAAGCCTGCGTGTGCGTGTGGCATTCTAACACCATGCTCCCCTCACAGCTGCTTTTGAACATCTACTTTTCTGAAAAATCTCACCCCAGCTTCTCCTCTGAGCTTTACATGGTCTGTTTTATGTTTCCACCCATAATCCCGTGCCTCAGGTCAGTGAGGTTGCAGTCACCTTGCAGCTTTTACAAGCAGTGCCCACTACTTTTCCCGCCTGATGTCCAAGTTATGCAAAACAAAGACGAGCACCTTAGGCTAGTCCCTCGGTATCTAAACCCTAGATTAGAAAAGACAAACACAGTCGTTTGCATATAGTCTATTCTGCCGCCTCTGGTTTGAAGAGGAAACGGAATCAGGCTTCTGCCACTGAAAGGGCAAGGCCGCCGCTGCCCTGGGGGAAGGGTGAGTGAGAAGTCGCAAGACTTTCCCGCCTCCTGAAGGAGGATTTTCTTCACCGGGCTCTGTCCCGGGTACAGCGCGCCCCTGCCCGCTCTCCAGAGCGCCAGCCGTCGGTCCATTCAGTGGCTGCTTGGGTCTGTTTTGGGGAGTGTCCCAGTGTCTGTCTGGTGTCACTAAGGTGTCTGTCATCCTAACATGATGGCAAGGCCTGGGACAGTGTGTGTCAGATACATGGACAGGGATCGAATTTTGGTTAGACTGGGAAACTGTAAATGTTAAGAAAACGGTCTCAAAATTCTCACTCTGTTCATTTACATTTAAAATTAATGAATAGATTTTCTTCAAATGTTTTGTAACTATGAATCCTGCCTTTTCTGCGGGTTATGATGAGTCAGCAGAGAATAGTAACTTATAAAAACGGTTATGAAATGAAAATGCTCCATACACACTTAGTACCAAAATTTTAAATGAGGTTTGTTGGCTGCTGCCAATGTTTTCTATTTTCTAGTAGCATATATTCTTGTTACCTGTCTCAGGTGTGCTGTAGGGCAAAAAGAATATAGATAAGACAAAAATAACATGTTTAGAAATGCCACTATTAAAAACAACTCGGCTAACACATTCTTTACATAGGTATTAATGCGGTTCACCTAACAGGGATGTTATTACTCATGCTTGTTCCGTTTAGTTATTTTGGGATTTTTACGAAGCAGAGCCACATCAGTCTCTACAAATGAAAATCCAGGCAGTCATGTAAAAATCTCACCATTTCCAATCAAGAGGCTGTACAGCAGGGGTGTCCAGCCTTTTGGCATCTTGGGGCCACACTGGAAGAAGCGTTGTCTTGGCCCACACATTAAATACATGGTGACAGGTAATCACAAAAAAATTTCATGTTGTAAATTTACGATGTTGTGTTGGGCCGCATTCCTAGCCATCCTGGGCCGCACGCGCCGGCCGGCCACGGGTCAGACACCCCTGATTTAGAGTCTTCTGCTTCCAGGACAATTTAACTTGTGGTGGTGCTAATCTAAGCTACCCTGTGTGCCTAAGATGACAAGGGTAGATTTTTCTCAAAATATCTTACATAGATTTATAAAAGTTTATTTTACATTCTTGGCGTGGTCATTGTGTTAAATTTGCAGTATTAATAAATGACAACACTTGCTGTCTGGCCTCTCTTACTCGGGAAGCCGGTTGTTCGCCAGACGGAGGGGCTGTGGTGCGACCCGGCCTGCGGGCCCCGCCTGTGAGACCGGCCGCGGACAGTTACGCGCTGGCCCATGCGCTGGCCCGTCACTGTGCAGTGTCTGTTTCTGCGTCCGACTCTCCAGGCCTGCCGTCCCTTCCCTGCCTTAGAGGGCTGCTGGCTCCTAAGGAGCTTAGTTCTACTTGGATAAAGGGAATGGAAATGTATTCCTTTTGTAAACAAACTGCCGCTACAGAAAGATTTTGCTTTGAAAGCATATCGGCAAATTAATATATAGTATTTATATATATTTTTAATCCTCACCTGAGGGCATTCTTTATCATTGCTTTTAGAGGAAGGGAGAGAGAGGAACACTGATTTAACTGTCTCTCATATGTGATCATACACGCCCGGACCGGGAACTGAACCCACAAGCCTTCGGTTACGGGACAATGCGCCAACCAACGTCTCGATTAAATAAGCCACCCTACAGATCTGGGCCTCACGCAGAAACGGCTTCTCAGTGCGGGAGGACACTGACGCTGCACCCCCTCCTGGGCTCATGTCCATTTTTGTCTTGTGACCACTTTTCCAGTTTCACAAATGGCTACAACAGTTGCCACTTCTGGGAATGTACTTGGGTTTCTAGCTGAAACAATAACTATTCCATTAATGTTGCTTTTATTTAAGAAAAGACTTTCAGGACTGTAATAGGTTATCTCATTGTAACTTTGGTTAAATTATGACTCCCCTTCCTACAACAGCAAGGCCTCTGCCACTTCTGTCCCCATCCCGGTAACACTGTAGCATTTACTGTCATTTTGTTACGCCCCTGAGCTGCCACAGGAACTTACCTGTGCGCCTCAAGTAGCCTGTGGTAGAACTGGGTTCATTACGTGCCATTTCGCCACAGTTCTAAGAACCCTATGGACACCAGTAAGTGAGGGCTTACGGCACTACTCTGATCCCTACTGGGTCAAGTCCTTCTGTTACAGCACCAAGGCCTCGGCTGTGAAAAGGAACCCTCGGTGAAGCTCAAAAGCGCAGACCCTGCAGCACACTCTCCCTGTGAGAAGCGACAAAACACTGTAATCCACTCAATCTCCGGGCTCCTCTTTTTTTTTTAATTTTTGTGTTTACAATTCCTTTTTCCTCTACTATTTAACCAACTTTGGTTAACATCACAGAACCAAGATAGTTTACAAAGTATTTTCCTTCCGTGCTATGTAAGCATATCCAAGGACTCAAAGTCTGAGGCATCGTCTACTTGATAATGGGTAGCAACGTTAAATAATGAAAAAGTTAACAGGTGGATAAGAATGGCTGAATGCTACTATCCACAGACTAAAAGTCCTATGACAATCAGACTGGTTTTTTGTACTTTCTTTAGGAACTAAGATTGAGGGTAACCGTAAAACAAAGGAAACTTTAAGTATTTTTATCATACACATAAACAGGAAGAGAAAAATCTTTTGAGGTAAAAATAGGGAGAAGAGTGATTAAAAATAGAAATGCAGGCATGTTGACACATTTGATGTCACTTACCTTACACGTTTTCTACTGTCCTGTGAGGACCACTGAGAACTACAACAGAGGTGTCGTACAGTAGTTTCACCACACGGGGTTGGGGAGGACATGCTAATCTGTTATCCTGTGATGAGACCTGGGGGGGGAAGTGGCTTAGACAAGACAGATGTCAATTTCTGTCTTGTAAAACAGTCAGAGGGAAAAGGAAAAAATTTTTCCTTATAGAATAAGAAAATACCGCTTATTAGTCTTGGCAGTTTATTTCACTAAGCAACTTTAGAGTACCAAACCAAAAATAATTCTTCAATATTTATCAAATAAGTAAAAAGTCAGTAATAATTTCATTACAGCTTCTGAAAAAACTGGTAAAATTGTAAAGCAGAGAAAGATTTCTCAAGCCATCTGAATATCTTCCTCCTTTATTAAGGGAGGAAGTCTTCATGATTCCGCTGAAAGATCGTCTAACAATGCCGAGGTAGTCACGGAAAGTCTGCAGTCGCCGCCCAACTAGGAGCCCCTTCTCCGCCCGCCCCTGCAGGAGACAGGCTTAACTCACGCACAGCAGCTCCAGGCCCTGGTGCAACAGCCATGATTGGTTTGCTTGTGCCTCATGCAAAAGCTCCCAGCCCTCGTTCTGCATGAAGTTACACACGAAGTTGTCCTTCTATATTAAAACTACCCCAAAGAAATCTTTAGAGCATCAAAGCTACAAAACAAATACACATAAAGCTATTTTTGTTTGAAATACAGATATCCCAAGTCTCCATTTTCTGGAAAGGCAGAACCCGGAGGTTATGTGCTGTGAAAGCCACTTCCCGGGGGCCTCTATTTAGGCGACCCGAGGTGAATCAGTGCCATTATGGTTGTGTAGCTATGGAACAGGTCATCATCCTTTACCTCGTTACACTTCTTCAGGATAAAGTTCCCGGTGACTATGCGGTCACACCCAATTTCTCCATTTCCAAAGAAGCCAAATAAAGGAACGCCAGGAAAGCACTTTCTGAACGCGTCAGCCTCCACGTTGCCCTTGGCTCTGTAGTACTGAAAGCCCCTGCCCACGCACGCGAACATGAAGCCCACGGTGTTGTGCTCTGGGATGTGGGCTGCTTTGAGGCGCTGCATCGCCGCCTCGGCCGCCTTCTCGTCGCTGACATCCTCGGTGAGAAGCACGGTGGCGCTCTGGATCCGTGGCCCGCTGAATGACAGCCCCACCACCCCCGTGGCGTCGATATCCAGGGGGTGCCTGGAAGGGTAAATCACGACAGTGGCAATGTATCATGAAGCCAAGACACAAAATTAAGCTTTCGTATGTAAAAGCAAAGCAAAGTCCTCCTGATTCACTGGTTCAGAGCTGCTGCCTTCAGCAGTCCCTGCTCAGCCTGCAGCTCCCCTTCCAGGGAGCGAGGGGCAGGGGCTGGAAATTCGACTATTGCAATTAACACATTAAAGGAGTGCAGAAGGCAAAAGGACCAAGGAAACCCCTAGTGTTTCAGTCACAAGGGGCAAATGCAACTCCCCAAAGATTCTGAAACCAACCCGCAATGTTTAGAAGGGTATCCTTACCTTTCTCACTTCCTTAAAAGTAACATTACAACTTTATTCATATACACAATGAGGTCTAGAACGTGAAGCTTTTTGGCATTACTTAACACATCTTTGGTGCCTTTTCCCCCTACGTCAGCTATAAACATTCAGTCCTGGAGGATATTTCTAGCTTTATGTTGTTTGGTCCATAAAGATATATGATTACATTGCTGGGTCTTGTTTATTGTTTTTGGCCTAAAATTCAGCTTAACCTGAAGGTGAACACATACTTCCTTTTATTTGTTTGTATTTGCTTGGTATTTTTTAATGAAATATTCCATTCTTAAAAAATGCAGTTCAATAAAATGACAAAGCACAGTACAGGGAACACCCACGGGGGGTGGGAACCAGCACCGTCCGTTTCTGCCACGCTCACCGACACCTGGGGCTGTGTGACAGGCAAGAGTCGCTGCATTACCGAGACAGCAAGACTCAGGAAGCGTGAGTGACCGAGACGGTGAAGCTGGCAAAACCAGTGTCTGAGGGGCACAAGGTGCAGACAGGCAGGCTGACAGGCGAGCACTGCGTGGGATTCAGGGCACATGGCTTCCCTCCCTCCCTCCCCGATGACAGTCCAGGGACCGGACGTGGCTATCTGCTTGCCCCGGCTCATTGCCCCGGCTCATCAGTGGAGGCCAAGGGGGTGGGGACAACAGCACACTGGGGCAGCGGACACGCCCCGCGGGAGACTGAGCGCCGACCATCCTCCATGTCACTGCTCTGGGGCCGAAATGCTCAGCGCAAACCGTGAGAAGCAAATACTAGTGTTTGCAGGAAGCATCTGGGAGTAGGGAGTCTCCTCTTCCTCATTTTGGAAACGGCTGATACTTCTGGTCTCTTAGCTCAAACTCAAGTCACTACATAATTGCATTCAAAATGGGACAGGAGTTAATGGCTCTCCTAACAGAAGAGCAAGTGCTCTTCCTCTTTGAAAGTAGAGCCTTAAGTAACAAAATCAAAGATAAACAATTGTTGAGTTTGACAAAGCCGTTCAAAAGACCTCGTACAGAATTCAAAAACCATGTGCCAAGTAGTACAGGCGGGGCTGCCGAGGCTCCACAGAAACCGGGGTTTTCTGGCCAAACAGGTTTGAGAACTGCCACAGGTTCTCAAATGTTACCCCCCCCCCCCCCCAAGGTTCCGAAAGCGCTAAGCACACCAGAGGCTCTGAGAAGCTTGGCCGTAAGATCTGCTCTGAGGGACCTGGAGAAGGAAGACACACGGGCCGCAGGGAGTCAGAGCTGTCTGCCGGGGAGGCCTCGGTAGACAATGCTGACAATTACTCCTGAGGCCCGCACGCCTCCGATGAACTAAGAATAAGTTCTTAACGGACAACGTATGTAAATTTTGTGCTCCAACTGTAAGCAGAATTATGTTGAGTAAGCCCCTCAACCTCTACTTATTGCAAAACGGAACAAATTCAAGTCTGTAAAATTGTTTTTCGAAAGAGCCAAGGTAACGAAACCCCGAGGGTGGAGGAGGTGCGCCGTCACGCGCAGACGTACTTTTCCGAGGTCAGCGACGCCAGGTTGTCCACCTGGCCTCCCGCGACGATGACGTTCATGTCGCTGAAAGTGCGGACGACTCGCTGCAGGTAGCGGCTGGCTCCCACCTTACAGCAGTTGTAGCCGAACACCAGGACCACGCGGAGCTCGGGGTTGTCCAGGAGGCCTGGGGGGGGGGGCGGGCCGAGGAGCGGCAGTGAGACGCCGCCTTAAAGCAGGACTTTCAAATTTCCTTCATTAAAACTTTATTTCCCATGTTTTGGAAATAAAATGTTACTGCAAATGCTTGCACTTCCCATTACGTGCAATGTAGTGCTTAGGCTGTCGAGTTTCCCATCTTTTACAAACTGTAACACACAACTCAAAATCTTGGCTACACTTTCTCCCCATGAAAAAAACTAAATGGCTGTTTGAAAACGGCACAGTCAGCCCAGGACAGCGAGGAGGAAGCAGCCAGGTCCCTGGGCAGCCCCGCGGGGCAGGCCACGCCCACCCGGGCCCCGCCGGGAACGAGGCGCCCCAGGCTCCCTGGGACAGGAACCTGAGGACCCAGGGGAAACGGAGAGAAAAGGACGAACCAGCTGGAGCGGGCTGAGCGGTGGGTCCCCCCAAAAGGCCGGTACCGCCGGCCTTGTCTCTGTGCTACGGGCTCCGAGTGCCTTCGCTCTGTACTCACGCTGGACTCTGGGCTCCGCGTTGGCCCTGGAGGCCAACGAAGTCTGCCTGCAAAGCTGCTGGGAAGACTAGAACCAGCGCGGGGTGCATGCCCAGCTCAAGCCGCAGGAAATGCTGGCCATTCCCGAACTTGCCCTTTGTGGCCACAGCTTTTGATTCTCACTGGGCTCAGAGCCATTTCACATAAGGAAGCCTTATCTCTGCAGGCGGCCTGACCCCTGTGTAGACGAGGGAGTCACCGCTGAGTGTGTTTTATGCCAACGGGGAACAGTGATTTTTTGGTGAGTTAATGCCCGCCATTTCATTTGCAGATGTAGATGAAAGGCTGGAATACTGCCCTCCTTGCAAGAGTAACTAGTTTGCTGTTACTGAGTTAAATTAAGCTTCCTGACCAGAGCTGAGACACTTAACCAGTCCTTTAACTCTTCCGAATGACCCGCCTACTTCAGCCACGCTTCCCAAGTGCCACATCCCAGTGACCGCTGCTCCATGGTCTGCCGGAACGCACGGCGTTTCTAAAACCTGACGTGCACTGCGCTCTCCTGTGCCTCAGTCGCTGGAGTTGCACTCAGCTCCAGCAGGGGACACTCGGTTCAGACTCAGAAACTCAGTCGGCGAGGTCGAAAATTAATGGTAAAGAACAGTAACTTACCTACTTCAGTGAGGTGATGTCTTTCTAGCGTTAAATTCTTTGGATCCTTAATAAAATGAAAGGGTTGTATTTTTATTCCTTCCATTTGAGGGAAGAGTAGAGCAAAACCGGATTCTCCAATTTCTATTTCCTGAGGCCGATTGCTACCTGATCCCATTGGAGTCACTGGGAAAAAAAGGGAAGCAGTTTGGTTAACAGACTCACTATAAACTGAAGGTGCATACAAACCAACCGACCGGCCCCCGACGTTTCATGTCATCCAGTATACGTTACCCAGCCCCACCTGGATCAGGGAGACAATCAACAAGGTAACGGACGACTGTCTGAGAAAGTTCTCAGCTTTGAAATTTTTACAAGTATAGAGTCATCATGTCTGCCATTTACTTTCCAATGATTCAGAAAGAAATGTGTCTATAAACAAAGACAGAACAAGCAAATGTTGCAAATTTTGTTTTAAAGTGGTGAATCTAGATGAAGGGTATGTGGGTGTTTAATGTACTATTATTATTCTTTCAACTTTTCTATAGGTTTAAAGTTTTTTTGAATAAAAAGTTGACAGAGTGGTAAATTCTGCTTCCCAGCAATTCCACTATAAAAAATGTATCCTGAAAATACATATATATACACCCTCACACACAGAGAAATACTTTTATCTGAGAATTTTTAATAACACATAAAAAGAAAAATCAAAATGTCCTACAATGGTATTTAGATTAAAAGTTACATTTAGGTGGGAAAAAATAAATAAAAGTTACATTTACACAATCAAATGTAGCCATTTAAGAATGACAGATATATTTACGGACATGGAAATATGTGTGAGATACACTGTGAATTTTAAAGGTAAATGTCAATCAAAACTGTATCTCCCCCAAAATTTATAGATTCCTAACCCCCCAATATGGGGAGCTGATGGAAGCAGAGAGCCTGATCAATCACCCTTAGCCATTTGTAAATACCTGAAATCCCTCGTACTTCACTGTGCAAGACTCATGTTGAGGTTAAAAGTCTCCCAGTGAAGACGAGAAGTGGCCATCAGGCCTTACTATGGACTAGAACACGACAAGGGCCAACGTTTACTCCGTTGCCTGCCTGCACATCTCTATTCTAAGTGCTTCCCGCGCGCTCGCTCATTGTACCGCTGCAACCCTCCAGGGCGCGACCACCAGCGCCCCGTCTCCCAGGTGGGCAAGCTGGTGCCCCGTGGGGGCTGGTCCTGCGCCGTCACACAGAGCAGGCGGGGCAGCCAGATCGCAAGCCGCGCGGCTGAACCCCTGCCCCGCCACTGCCCCAGCAGAGTGCCTCTCTCCCATTAGCTAGAGAGAACAATCAAACATAGTAAAAACCAGCAAAAATTCAGAGCAGTAAACTGGGAAAAGGGCAGTACTTATGCTATCACCTTGAACAGCGCTGGCCACGCGGAGAAACCGCAGTTCCCGGTGCGGCCCCTCCCCCCACCCACCAGCGAGCGTGGCCATGAGCACGCTCACTAGCGCCGATCTGCAGCGAGGCGGCAGGCCGTGCGTGCACGGCTCCCGGGAAGGCCTGCAGTGCGGCTGGTGCGCACAGACGGCTCCCACATGTGGGACGGCAATCCCAGCGAACGCCACCCGTGTCTGGGACGGCCAAAAGCAGAAGTGCGCTCTTACGCGGCAGGATCGCTCGCTGGGGGCGGGGGGCGGGGGGGGACCCCCAGTGACGCAGGGCAGGGAACCCTCACCTACGATCCCTGGGGTCACAATCCCCAGGACTTGGCACTGCCTCGGGAACAGCTTCTCTAGCGCAAGCGCCGTTTCCGTGGTCGTCCTCTTCCTTGCTGTAACGACACAAGCAAGTAGCCACCGTCATCCACTGGAGGTCACCTCGGGTGGTGTGGAGGGGAAAAGGCAAGTACTGAGAAAGCTGAAGTCATTTCCCACCAGCACGCTGTATACAGAAGTTTAAAAACCTTGATGAAAGCAAATGTGCTCCTGTTCCGGGCCCGTTTTATGTTTTAACCCTAAACTTGGCCTTTTGGCATCACCAGTTTGCCTCTCCGCTTTGTTCACAAACAGCTGTCACTCCTGTGACGTCAAACTTCGCTGCAGCAGCTACATTTTAGACTTGCTCTTGTATCTTTCTGTTCAGGTGCTATTAACGCACAAGGACTCCGCCTGCACAGTCGCCTGGGCTCCAGTCGGACGATAACCCCCCGTTTCACTTGCACTCCGGTCGCAGTGTGCCCTCCTGGGACGCCCAGGCAGGCGGCCGCTCCTCCCAGCCAGCCGAGCCCGGACTGTGTCTACACACCCCTGCGGGAAACGGGTCCCCATCATCCAACACGATAAAAGTCGTACAGAGCCAAAGGTGCACATTCTGCTAATAAATACACATCCTAATAATAAACAGAAGTGCCTGGAGGATTAAAGTATTTCAAAATGAGAGAAAGTTTTCTAATGAAATCGCGTCGATTGTACTGCAACGTTCAGAAGCCAACCTTTGAGGCAAAGAGAGCTCTTCGAGGTTGAAAGACAACATATTCATGCATCCACAGAGAGTGGGCCCAGGGCCTCAGAAAGTCACCATCAGGAGTAGGACAATATTGAACTCCAGACAGATGATACAGAAGGAAACAAAAACACCCAAAACGTCTTCTTTTGATACTCACCTCTCTTGTGGCCCCGACACTCCTCCAGGCTAATGAAAGTGTCAGAGTCAGCCATGTAAAGAACTGTCTGTGGTAAGACGTGGACATTCTGCAAAGAGAAGATCACTCAGACTCAGACCACAGGAGAGCCCCACCCTGCTCCAGGTCGAGGCCCGCATCCTCCTTCCCCTTTCACCTGCATTCTTTCAGCTCCGGCTCATTTATTTGTTAAACATCTATTGTTCCTTCAAGTCAAACTCATTCCAGACTCACTAAGGGAGTTCATTTTCATAATAATGTAAGCTTGTAAGCAAAAACAATAAGCACCAGCCCCCCTTCCCCCCCAAAAAGCCGCAGGCTTTATCTGAACAGGTGGACGGTACCAGAAATGGCTCAGAAACAAAGGCCAGGTGCAGCCTGTGCCACACTCCTCACCTCCCTGCCCAAAGTAAATACTCCAGGCCTTCGCTCCCACTGTGCTCCTAGAGGGGTCTTTCACTCACGCAACACACACACACACACACACACACACACACACACACTGCTTTATATATTCTATAGCTCTCATCCTTTCCCACTTGATTTAAGATTCTGCCCCCCAAGAGGCAGTAGGTGCCTCCTCCCCCACAAAGCCCTTCCCCGGGCTCCCTCAGGACTGTGGACCTCGCAAGCCACATGCCTTACATCCCAGCAACCCACCACTTAGGAGCTGGGCTTATTCAAGCTCACGTTTTCCACTAAACTTCACGTGACCGTGACGAGGGGCAAAGTGGCTGAATTATGAACATGGTGAATATATGTTTAGATTTGCTATTGTAGCTTTCTGTTCTGTTGGTTATTTTCAAACATATTTTACTATCAGAATGGAAGGAGGTTGTTAGCCTACGGCAAAGTCTCAATGTTAATTAAATGAAAAATGTTGATCCACTGTATTTTGAGGGAATGTTAAGCTATTTCATAATAAATTCCATTTGACAAACTCATAAAAGACTGAGATAGAGTGAGGACCCTGCGGCGGCGTCAGGGCTGCATAAGACACATGGACATAGTTTCCTTGGTCCACAAGGTATCTTCACAGAGTGTAATGCGGTTGACAACATTTCAAATTCCACAAAACATTTACATAAGATGTGGAGTCCCAGACTCTTCTGAAAAACTAAACATTTTGGCCACAGATCACGTCCACTGCCTGTGACTGGGGCTGCCCAGAGGCGCGCTCCCTCTGGGCTCCCTCTGGGCTCCCCCGCTCCCTCTGCTGTTACACCCGATGCACCGGTGACACCCACCTAACTGCAGTCATTTGAGTTGTGATGCCTGGCGTGGAGAGTAAAGGAGAGAACTTTTTAAAAGATTTCAGTGTTAGTGCTGACTTCCATAAGCCCGCAGAAGGACCCTGGAAAGTGTTTAGGTCTTTGGCCTCCTATTCTTAAAGATGGGAGGTCTATCTCTGAGGTTTTGTAACTCTTTCTTTTCTGGTACCTGCTAAAAAGCAATTGCTGAATTTTCCTTCCTGGCTCTCATCAGAAGCCACAACAACGACAATCCGCATCATAAGATGTTCTCACAGCACCAAGGAACACATCTGGGACCTTGGTCCATTCTTCAGAGAAGTTCCGAACAGCAAGATATTTTGTAAAAATTTAAGGGGGCTTTTAGAATATTTTTAATTAAAAAGTTAATAAGAGACTAAGAGGCTATACATAAATAAATGAATACATTGAAACAGGATCTTAACATGGTTTCAAAGTATCTCCCCACCAAATATTTATTACACTGGGAATGACTAATTTTACAGTAGCAACACCTAGCTGACACCATGTTAGTAAAAGAAATCAAAGGTAATATCACCGGCGATGGGACCGATGGCAATCATGCGATGCCTGATAGGCTGCAATAAGAAGAGAACAGTGTTGCTTGGGATATTCCAGCCAAAGATACATAATCCAAATCTAAGACACATCATATGCTTTGCGAAGTAACTGGCCTGTAACTTACATATGTATCAAAGTTGTGAAAGTCAAGGAAAGCTTGAGAAACTGTTCCAGATCAAAGATTCCAGAAACAGGACAAATAAATGCAACAAAATTGTACACAGGATCCTTTTGCTTTGAAGGACGTCAGTGGGACAGCCGGCAAAATTGTGAATGGAATGTGAGTCAAATGGTAGGAAGGTATCAGTGATAATTCCCTGACTTTGACAGTTGTACGGTGGCTATGCTAGGTCCTTGTTTGGGTGTAATGCACGCTGAAGTCTAAGGGAGTGACAGAGCATCGACAGAGCGTCGCGCTCGCAAATCGCTCCCCAGTGGCCCCTCCCAATCCCACTGGGCAGCCTCACTGTCCCCTGTGCCCGGGAGGCTGCCTCTCTGACCCCTGAGTTTAAGTTTTTACCTGGTATTGTCCATCTTTTGCAAGTGGGGCCCAGAGATACACCACAAAAGAGTACAGGAGCAGGGTTTGAAATATTTGGGTTCAAGATTAGTTCTTGGCTTCTTGATGTGACACTAAGCAAAGGAGACCCAGCTGCCTTTACTGCAAACCAGTGACAACAATACTTGCCTCAAGGGAAGCAGGTTAAGGAAAGGTTCTGCATGGAACTATCACAATCGTAAAACTCTGGATACATAAAGGGCCTGACATCTGAGGACTGGTCACATAAAATCATGGCACATCCTTACAGCACACAGTCATTAAACCTGACATTCACAAGTCTTTTTGTGACATGAGACAGTGCTCCCGAATCTATAAAAATAAAGTCCATGGACAAAACTGGGATCAAAACAAGCTGAGCTCTCAAAGGCTGACCCACCCACCCACCCGGCAGAGGCCGGTGCGCGCACCCGTCTCACTTGCCTCGAGCTCCCGGGCTGCCACGCGGACCAAGCAGTGCTCCTGCGGGTGGCCGCCGTCCGCCGGCCCCGCCGCGATCCAGGCCACCCCGCGCTGGGCCCGCAGCACCCTGCGCACGCTCTCCCTCCACAGGCGGCTCACGCTGGGGGCGCGACCACAAAGGGCTGTGAGCGGGCGTCCTTCCGTCCCTCTCCCCGCCCGCCCGCCGCCCGCACACCCTGCGGGACAGACCCCAGCCACCCGCCGCCGCTCCTCACCCGGCCACCCGCAGGAGCGCCTTGGCGGGCAGGAAGGTGAGCACCCGCTCCACCACCTCCGCCAGGTTACTCAGCACGAAGGCGCTCCGCGGGTCTGCGGGGAAGGCGCGATCGGCGCCGCCGGCGCCGTCCGCGAGCTCCATTCCTCCGCGCCAGTCCCGCAGCAGGACCGCGGCTCCGAGGGGTTAGGGAGCCGCACCAGCTCCGGGCCAGCGCGCTCTGCGCAGGCACCCCCGCTTCCGGCCGGGGGCGGGGCTGGGACTTCCGGCAGCGGGCTTCCGGTGCGGCGGTCCGCCGGGCCCAGCCCTCCCGGAAGCTGTCAGGGGCGCTGTCAGTCCCGCAGTCCCAACGGGGCCGCCGCCTCTTCCTTTCTCTAAGTCGCGAGTCCCTGAAGGCAGAGACTCCGTGCCATTCCACGCCTGTTAGGACCACGAGCCCGCGACCCAACGGGCGGTACCGGCAGGCACCCGTCCGCGCGGCCCGGCCCCTCCCCCAGGCCTGCGGAACCGGACGGGGGCGCCCCGCGGGCCGACCTTCCACTTTCCCCGACTCCGATCTAAGCTCGGGCTGGAAACCGCGGGTGGGTGCGGGGAAAGCGGGCTCAGCAGACGCGCCTGGGCCCCGACCGCCACCCCGCCGCTGCTCTCCATCCCCCGTAACCGGACCGAACGAGCGGGTCTCCAACGCTGTGGCCTCGGAGCTCCTCCCACTCAAATACCGACGACCCCAAAGAGCTTGTTCATGTGGGCTGTGTCCGTTCATATTTACCATATAAAAAGATTTTAATATTAAAGTAATAAATCCATTACACACTAACAAAACAACGTTTTTATGAAAAAAAAATCGCCTTCCCCCAATAGTGACCAGTGACATGTTTACATTTTGCAAACCTCTAACGTCTCGCTTAACGGAAGGCAGCTGGCGGCTTCGGAACAGTCCGCGGCACCATCCCGTCGTGGGGCCTCTGGCGACTCCACCGCGCGCTGGAGAGGGAATGAGCTGAAAGTGGCAAATATTGTTTCAGTATTAGGAAAAGACTTCCGACCTCCAAAGTCGCCTGAAAGGGCTCATGGTGCCTCCAGCATTTCTCAGGTCCCCTGTTGAGAACCACAGGTCCCAAACAATCGTGATAGTTTGTTTCATGCTTTTCACCAGCCATTAGTTTGAGGTGGCCCCGTGCTAGGCAAGCAGAGGGAGGGCAGTATGGTGGGGGCGGGGGGCAGAGAGGGGGCTTCTAGATTTCACACCTCCCGAGGAGACGCTGGAGGGCAAGACCATTATCTGCCTCTGGTTGGAGTAGCTCCACTGCACATCCAGGCATAACTTTGAACCCAAACGTGGAATCAACACAGGAAAATCTCAGGAAGCAGAGCGCAGCCTAGATGCACCGTGTCTGGGGTTTTCCTACCTCTGGACTTCTTGTGAGATAAGGTAACCAGTATGCGTAAGGAGGCAAAGGGCACACCAAAGGGGAAGCAGAATATTGCAACTGGGGGAACTAGGGACAGCCACGAAGAATTTCTGTTGAAGAATGCGTGTGGGAGAGGGAAAAGGCTGGCGAAGACCTGCGTATGCAATGACGGCGCACACCATTTCTGGGGTCTCTAGCCTTCTCTCGCTAAATCACCTTGCTCCCTCTCTCTCAAGTCCCTCCTCCCCCCATCGCACCATATGTAATCATATGCTAGGAACACAACAGAACCCACAGACACCTGAAGCTAAGGGTATCTCTTATGAGGGGACAATGACAGAGTTATTTTTTAAATGATTCTTTATTCATAAACTTGATGCAAGTTTACAAAATTTACTGTACATTGCCAAATAAATCTGCAATGAAAAATAAACTCCAAAAAAACCAAAGCATGCCACATGTGCAGCTGTCAATCTGCTAGCCATCAGGATATCAAAGAATTCCGTAAGGTATTCAAGATGTAGCCTTAGGGTTAAGGAACTGCAATGCTTTAAAGAATCCTGCCTTATCACTTGCCTGAGCAACTGTCAGTCAGAACTGTACACAAATGTAACCACGTGAACAAGAATGCCAGGAACTCTTTCTCTACTGTCCTCTCAAGCACGCAATAACACAGAAGCGCCGAGTCTCTCCAATGTGATTTACAAAGTTAAAAACTGGATCTCAGAGCACATGTGTAAGAAACACTTTTCAACTTTGTCACTGGTTTGTGCAGAAAAATGTGCTTCTAAATTTTGTTTTAAAAGTGCTTAATAACTAGAAGTTACTTTTAAATCAAATGAGGGTGTATAAAAAATCTATTACCAATCAAACAGGACTGGACTGACCCGGGTAAGGCAATAAAATGGAGGGTATAGTGATCTGAGTCGGGTTTTATAAAAGAATTAACATGTGTAGAGTTCCTATTAGTCTGTAAGTAAAAGCCATTGTTACGACTATAGCAAAAAGTTTAAGAGTCTCCAAATTAGGTGTCTTTTTGTTCTTAACTGTGCACCTTTTGTTCAAGGAGTCTGTGTGCCAATCACTTTAGCAGTCGATTAGTTTACAAATGATTGCAACATCCCGTTAATAAAATGGAAATGTCATATGATTTAGCATTTTAAACAACTTCAAGATCTATAGTGCAGATCTTCCTCGGACACAGTGAACCAAAGAGCAGAGTTGGTCCAGCAAGACCGCGATGCCCCAGGGGAAAGAGCCACTACAGCCTCGCTTCACTTTGCCTGAGAAGCACAAGGTACCTCGGGTAAGAGCATATCGTCGGGGGACAGCTCCTATCTTCACGTGGCCATAAAAAAGTTTAACGATGTATTGAGTAGGTTTCCTGTCACTATTTTGGCAATATCATAAAATGGTTTTAATCTGAAAAGGCTACTGTGATGTAGAAGACCTTAAATTTTCTAAACCAATATTAAACACCAAATAAACCTTTATTGGCTCTGAAAGGAACAACATGCTGCCAGTCCTAGTAACAGATGCGCCCATTATGGAAAAGTGACCCTCAAGTCACAACTTCAGTTACCTGATGCTGGCTTGCCTGCTTAACAGATTTAATTTTTCAAGAAAAAGAGATGATAAGGAGTGGCCAGTGTGTGTATTTATCAGGGAAAATACAGTGAAGCCCCACTGCTCAGTCCAAGATAAACTAAAAGGAGCAAATGAGAAGGCTGCGACTTATACAGGAGGTCAGTTGACAGATTATCCACTAAAATATCTATGAGCTAACGTCTTCGGTACTGCTGTTACAGGGGCACTCAAAGCTTGTCTGCACGTTGGAAAGATTTTCTTTAAAGCAAGATTGGTCCAAACATACGAGTCAGTACACTTAGCCATCTTCCTTTGGAGGGGTGTACCAGCCTGAAATAGAATGGAAAAAAAATTTAAATACTTAATTCTTAAACTTACTTGGAGTCAAGGCGTTTTATTAAGGTTAGCTACTTTATCTACTCATAATTTTCATGTTTAAAGCTGTCGTAAAAATTAAACTTACACTTGCATTGGTAATACAGAATCTGACGCATTTACAATACAGATGCTCTTTGACTGGGTGTGTGGGGGGGGGGGGGCGATCACTTGCCTACCGTGCACCAACGCCAGCCCGCAGGGGCAGGCCTGTCCCAGAGGCGCTTGCGCCGTCGGTCGCCGGTGGTGGACTCTCCCAATCCCTTCCTGAGTGGGACCTGCAGCTCAGCCCTGCTGTCTGGCCTCAGGAGAGCGTATCTATCACGCTGCATACCGCTCACCCGGGAAAAGATCAGAATTCAAATCTGGATACGGTTTCTATGATTACGTATCACTTGCACAACATCATGAAGCTGAAGAAATCTAAGTCTAAAAATTGTAAATGGGAGACTGTCTCAAGTTATTTTCTATGAATAAACTGTACTTGAGTTTTCAACAAAAGATCTCTCTAGTAAGGGCATCTCTAGCTAACGATGGACTATTAACAGTACTGGCTGGGTTTTGTATTCCATTTAGACTCTGTATTTAAAAGAAAACCTCAGTGAAGACAACCTGCACCCAGACAAAAGCCCGGTGTTTAAGGAGATGAACTCGGACTGTCATCAGTGCCATGCTGTCACCTCAGCAGTGAGGAGGCCACCTCAGCAGGTGCACTGGTGACTATGCCAACGATCCGTCAGCAGCAGCCGCCAAAGTGGAGGCCACCTCCTGACCCTGAACCCACTGCTCTGTCACCATGGCCCTCCTCACACACCCGCTTTCCCAGACACAGCACGTTCTGCAAGTTTCTGAATGCTTCGTGCAGTGTTTGCTTTGGAAAGAAAGGAAAGGGAAAGGGAAAAGAAAAAGGAAAGGGAAAGGAAAGGAGAAAAGGAAAGATATGATTGCTTCAGCGTCCGCAGTACTCTAAGCTCCGAGCAAACGAGACCAAGCCCTGTTTGGAGCGACACCGCCAGGAAGCGGCGCAGATACACCAGGGCCCGCGGTGCATCAGGTGCTTATGTCGCAGTTCCCGGGTGTTTCTGCATCTACCAGTTTAGGGGGCTGGAGAGGGTTATTATGAAAATCCACTCTTGCCAGTGGGTTTGCTCATGTCCCTGTTCAGACACCTGGACAGGGGTTGGAACGCAGGCGTCTCTCAGTTCACAGGCCTCCCAGCAGGAAGGGGAGCGCTCGCTGCACCGGTGGAACCAGTCCCCGGCGCCCCAGGCTCTGCCTGTGCTGTTCCTTCAGCAGCGACCGGTCACTGGAAAAGTGACCAGTTTCCTTTGCCATTAAAATACAAGGGAGCACAAAGCACAGCACTTAAGTCACAAGCTACCACATTTCTAGCAGAGTAAAGAATAGTTTGCTGTAAATACTCCCTTAAAGAAAACGACTTTGTATTATTATTAATTTATTTACTCTGCACCCAAAAGGCCTCACTTTCAGTACCACAACTATAATCAATATCTTATCAGCACTTAGCTACAAAGTGCGATGTATACTTTCTTTTCCCTCACAAGTCTGGCAAGTCAGATATCATGCCAATTTGAGAGAAGGGGAAACTGAGGCTGTGGTAACAGGGCTTGTTTGGGGCCACAGAACTAGTGAGTGACACACACGGCACTGAAAATAGGTCTCCCGATTCCAAATGGACTTTTATTCCCTCAGTGTTAGAGACAAAAACTCAAAACATGCATCGTGAATACAAGCAAAATGTAGGGAAAGCCCTGAAGTTTATGAAAGATATTTTGGGACTTTTTAAAAAATATGCAACTCAAATACCCCGAAGCTGACACTGAGATTAGAACTTTACTTGA